GTAGTAGTAGTATGCTAATCAAGAGTTGACCATCTTTTTAAACAGCTTGCAGATAAAGGAATTCAGAGCTATAGAACGATATTCTAGCGGGAGAAGAACCACTTTTCCAGTCTTCTTGAAACGCAGATAGTAGCCTCCCGCCTTGAGGACACCCTCTTGCCAGATTGTTATATAGACCCTGGAGATGTATCTCTAATGAGTGGGAGGGCGGTACTCATTTCTGTAATTAAGAACATGATGTTTATGTCTCGCTACGTCCCACTCCAAAATCCAGGGCCCGTGACTCATCTACTCTACTCACCTGCGTAAAATCTGAGGATCGAGCTGTCATAGAAGACACCTGCAAATGCTGTGGCAAAAAAATCAGCGACTTCTTGAGGGGGGGCAACGGAGTTACCATCATTATCCTGCTCTTTTCTGCACACGTTGCCATACCTGGGACAAGGGAATTTTTTTCTTTTTTTTCATTTAGAGGGGAGACATAAGAACAACAAAGACCGGTGACGAGCATTCCTTAACGCTCGACGAGCTTGGACTCTGGACCGTTTGTATTCCACATGATATGTTGCCGGTAGTGACCATAAGCTGTGCGCCGTTCGACAACTGCCTGCCTTCACTTCTCCGACCACCAAGGAATAGGTCGGCGAGCGACACGACCAGAGGTCCGAGGAATGTAGTAGTGACCAGGTCATCAGAGAAGATTAGCTAGGTATTCAATCGGTTCATCTACAGAGAGAAATTCTTCAATATCTTTGCTAGTACCTTGAACAAGTCCCAGTCCGCCTTATCTAACCGCCAACGCGGAACTCGTGGTATTGGGAGGACCTCCGAGGAGAAAAGGGGGGGGGGGAAGGGTAGTGGCCACTTCCTCTGAGGTCGTCTGCTACTCGCACTCAAAGTCCAGTAGAGTCTGTTGAGCACAATGAGAGATCCATGGCTGTAATCATGTCGACTTGGACTTTAAATTAAGAATTGTATCACTCCAGAGGGTACTGCCTTCCATTAAAAACACCAAGGCAAACATAAGGAAGTTGACGAATTAATGTAACAAATCCTCCCTGGCAATTGGTGTACTGGGAAGGAGGTAAATGGAGCAGAGGCCATAGGTACGTTGGAGGTGAATCTTGCAAGCTGTCACCTGCAACGGGGAAGTGGTTGATAAGGAACAATAAGGTAAACCACACTTGTCGAAGACAAGGGTGACTGTGCCCCCATGGTTTGTCTGTTCTGGATTTTGAAGAGAGTAAAAAGCCGAATAACCTCTGGAAGGGGAATTATAGGCACCTAACATGGTCTCCTGGAGACAAATACATACAGGGGAGAATTTGCTCAGGAGTAACTGTGTATTAGCCTCTGTCACATTAATATTATATAAACATGGGCTAAGGACATATATTAATTATATTAATTCTATCACCCAGACTATGAGCATACAGCTACATAAGCATTTGTCCTGTCACACCTCCTAGGGTGGATAGCACATAAACATTTGTTCACTCACACCTTCTGGGGTGTACAGCCCATAAATCTACAGACCCGGCCCTCCGTGTGTGAGTACTGTAGTCCTGTTTAGATAAATGTCTGTGTTGAATTATGGATTACTCTCCAACAACCAGACTCAAGAGAGGTCGGTTAGTTTCCCCAGTTCACAGCTAGACACGAGACTAATGTCGTGTCGTGAGACCAGCTCTCCAGGCTGTACCTCTCTCTAATTATATCAGCTAATTACAAGCTAATAGCTAATGCTCATTAGTCTGTCAATACCAATTAGTTGTACAGACATTACTACCCAATATAACTATAAAATCACCACGTGTGTTTACATTAAACCAAGGAACAATGAGTGAAGAGAACAGTACCTGTGTGTCTTGTTTAACTTACAAGCTAAGATAATTACAAGTACAACCCAGGACAGCTGTGACGATTTCAACTATCAACTAATCTACGACTGTATCAAAGGTGACATGCCGTGAGATTACCTGATATCTCACCCAGCTGCATCAAAGGTACCAGCGACTACCCTACACTCATTCAGACAAGTGTTAACAAGCGAGATAGTTCGATATCAAACCACAGCTTAAACAACTGGAGCTCCTCGCAGTTGGCTCGTAAGCCTCGACATTTCTATTGGACGATGGTGGCCAGGATTAGTGGGATCTAAGTAGGGGTGCAGCCTCAAAAGGCGTTTAGACTTGGGCTTAGTTTGGGTTTTGGAACTCGGAGGATGCACTGGGAGTGTACCACAACGTGCGCCTCCTCTAGTCCCCCTGCTGAGGTTGGGAGGGGGGGGCCTCTCTATCCCGCCCCAGGGTTTTAAGATATTTTTGTGGCTTTGTGACCACAGACGACCCATCACAACAAAGTAACAGTACCAAGTAAATAATATCTTGTTTTAGAGAAAATATGCATGAAAATTCTATTTAGAAACAGAGAGCCTGTCCAAGTGTTCCTGCTCAAACTGATCGATGATAGTGCGAGTTTCTTAGGCCTGATCCCATAAGGAGAGCCCGTGAGACGTGACGTCATTAGCATGTGGCGTCCCATAGGCCTCCTTTGTTCAAGGAACAGTCGAGGTCAGTGAACATTGGGTATCGAAGGGAGTAACAATAATTAACAAGTATTGCGATTCATGTGAACCCCCGTTTAACTAGCTAGGAGAATAGGTTAATTGTTTTGAAGTATAATCGCCAATCTTAATAAAAGGTGTTCAATAAAAGAAGAACCGTTAAAGAGAAAAAATTCCCCCTCTTTGTATTGAGTAAATTATTCGTCATACATGTCTTTGGTGTTATGCAGTGATATAGCGAGTCCTGAGTAATAACACAACTTTCACCTGTGTCCCCGAGTCTCATTTATCACAGATTATCCCTATACCCAGCTATTCTTGTCTACTTCCATTCTCCCTCCCTCTCCCTCACTTGCATGACGCAGTTCAGTTCTGGTCACCGTACTACAGAATGGATATAGAATCCCTAGAAAGAATTCAGAGGAGAATGACAAGACTAATCCCGGGCATTAAGAACCTTGAGTACAGTAAAGCATCTTAATTTGCACTCCCCCGAGAGACGTAGAGTGAGGGTCGATATGATAGAGGTGTATAAATGGAATTCAGGGCTAAACGAAGGGACATTACAAAGGTACTCAAACTATCCAACCAGGAGCGAACTCGTAACAATGGTTTTAAATTAGACAAATTTAGATTTAGGCGCGAGTTAGGTAAACATTGGTTTGGAAATAGAGTAGTGGATGAGTGGAATAAGTTACAGAACATTATCATTAACTCGAATACGCTGGATAGCTTCAAACATACGTTGGATGGATATACGAGTGATAGGGGTTTTATGTAAATGGGACTACCCTGTATGGGCCAGGCCCGCTGCATTCCCTCCATTCTTATGTTCTTATGTTCTTATATCGGTTACCAGGCCGAGTGACCACAGGCAAACCCCCACTTCCCCCAACCACAGGTCTGCCTGCTTCTAACTCCCTCCTTCACTTGCCGAAATAAAGAGTAAGAATAAGAAAAGACAATTAGAAAATAAAGAAAGAGTAAAAGTGTGTATATAAATATATATTAGGAAAAAATAAAGAAAGAAATCCACTTCTATTACAACCACAATCACTTATCACAATAACAATCACAATTACTCACCGTCAACATAACCACAATCATTCACCATCACCACAATCACTCGCTATAACACCACAATTACGGTCACCATCACTACAACAACTACAATTACTGTCACTGTCATCACAACCACAATTTCTGCCATCGTCACTAAAATAACCACAATCACTCCCCATCACTAGAACCAGTCACTATCACCACAACCACTTACCATCACCACAATAACTATAATCAGTTACCATCACTATACAACCACATTCACGATCACCATCACAACAACCACAATCCCTGGCGAGTGGGTACAGAGCTCGCCTCCTGATCAGTGTCGGTGATTCGATTCCCTGCCGCTCTTAGTTCACCCAGTTGTATAAGTATACCTGAGTTTACGACTTTAGGAAGTGAAGGCGGTCGAGAGCAGTACTGGCCATGGTATCCACACTGTCCCTAACAAGCTGTCATGCCTATGGGTCCCAATTTCCTTTCACCTGCTAATATACTAGAAACGGGGTTCTTCAATGCATCACGAGATATGGCTTTTCTTACATTATGTTCCGTCCCCTGGTGATTAACTGTTTCTTGGGTTTAATTTTTTAATTATGGCCCATTTCTCTTTCGATATTCCTATTAGTTTAATTTTGGTAGGTTGGGTTAGTTACGTTAGTTTTTGTATCACTGCCGTAATTTTCCGTGGAGAGGTTGGATGTTTATAACACTGCCACCAGTTGCCGTGAACAGTGAATGATTATTTAACCATAAAAAAAAAATAGGTAAATGCTATGTTTTAAGTGTCTTAACCTCACATTTTCTCTGCCAACTTTGTAACGTAATATTGAAAAATGGGAATACCTAAAAAATAAAGCATTTGCACAGGCAACAGTTATCACCAGGTGTCACGAAAAAAAAAACACTTGGAAAAAAAATGACTCGTTGCTGGTTTCAGGAGCCGCGGTTTCACCAAGTGTCACTACGACCATCATTACCAATAGTCACCACCATCATCACAATCACCACCACAGTTACCACCAATATCACCACCATCACCACAATCAACAACAGTCATCACAATCACTTTGTCAATATCATCCCCATAATCACCACTCACTGCCACTGACCATCAGTCATCATCATCACCACCATCAGTCACCACCACCATCATCACTACCAGTCACTACAATAACCACCAGTCACTACAACTATCACCACTTGCTAACCACCATCATCAACACCACAATCACCACTCACCACCACCACAGGCACCACATTCACCACTCACCATCACCACAGGCACCACAATCACCACTTACCACCACCGTCGCCAGCATCCCAGTTAACACCACAAAATACATGCAAACATTATCAGTTTACTCACTTGGTTATTACTCAGTTCACAGGTATTTTACTGCAATTCACAAGAAGATTCAGCAGTGACAGCAGCAGGCCGCATAGATATTCCATCAACCAGGAAAAAGAAGTTAACACAGCAGCGGTTAGTAAAACTGCAAGCTATCACAACAGCTGCCAGTGACAGCCACCAGACGACTGATCAAACCACAGTTCACACTCCACACCGCTGATCAACGCGCCGTAAATGAGAACACTAAACCCCCCCCCCCACCGATCCTCACCCACCACCCGGCCATGCTGGTGCCAATTATGGTACTACCCTCATCATTTCTTCATAATCAGATGTGTCTTGTCGCCCCTATCTTCTATCTCGTCATTTTATTATGATTATATACTTTATACGGTGATACTTACTAGTATGGGGGAAACAATAAATGATGTAAGTGACTGAAACTGTGATAAAGTTTTGTACGAATCTTGGATGAAATTCGATGGATGATGTTTTTGATTAGGTTGCTGCTGTTAAAATGTTATTAGTTATTACCAAGGTCTTCTATAGACTTACTGAGCCTTAACAACTACTGTAAGGTGTCTCCAAAGAAAGTATATAAGAGGAAGCGCGTCCCCATACTTTACTCCGATTGGCCCGCCATCTAGTGGCCAGGCGTCCCTAAAGAAAGAACGATTTTCTTTATCTTCTAATGGTACACTGTGATAGAAAATGAATATTTAGCAAAAAACGCGATATATATGTCTATGACTCAAAATTCTCCTTTAAATTTATTTTTTGTACATTAATTATTATTGTACACAAGAACATAGATCCTGGGGGATGCCTTTCTCTATGATCAAGTTGAGGGATTTCCTATAAAATCATCCCCCTTACTCTACAATTCATGTAATTCTGTTAAGGTCAACCTATTGGTTGGTGATCAAAAACAAAGTCACAAAAAAGTACAATATGACTTTTGTTATAATTACTCCACCTGTATGTTCAAAGGCGCATTTATAGAAGTCTCAAGTCATCCTCATCTATTTTTATTATTATTATTTAATTAACTTATTACACCCTAGTGGGCGACAAGCCTAGTCACAAGACCATGCGGCCAGACATTAATACATTGGTACTCGTGTCTCGCAGGACACGCTATGACTATGATATGGAGTCATTGATGTGAGTTGAGGACAATGGGGTGTTAACACCCACCAAAGCGAGGGTAGGAGGTCTTGACAGTGGGACAGTCAAGGCAACAGTGTTGAAGAGTGTTAGTGTTGGGACAGTTACAGAGTTTACAAGAAGAGAACTGCAGGTCACCCCCACCTCTGACACATGCCAGATAGGTCTGCATCCTAACCTAATGCAAGCTGAGATAACATTATGTCTGCGGACCATAAGTCCACGTCGACGATACTTGTTGTAGTATCTTACATGATTTACTGGGAGAAGGAGAAGCCACATACAGATTCTTGCTCAGGTGGTTTATTCTCTGTTGTGTTACAACGAGCCTAACACATTCTTGATTACACAGGCCCATACACATTCTAACTTCGGTAAGAAGTAACATAATTAGTAATGTGTATATCATCAATAAAGGCAGCATATAAACATACACATATATAACACTATTTCTCCCTTTCAAAAGAGAGCATGGCTGCTACAAATCCAAAATATACAAAACTTACAGAATTACATATGGCAGGGAAGAAGAGAATAGAACACAAGAAATATAACTTCCTATTAACAGTTTTGAGAGGCCTGTTCACAATTCAGGTAATCAGAGGTCTAATTTCATCACAAGTCTTCTGACTCTGTTTGATCTTCTAGGACTATTCCCTCCATCAAGTTTTACAGGGGTTTCACTTTCACTCTGTGCATTATCAGTGACAGACATATCATCACTACAGTCAGTTGACACAGTGAGTGGATGCTGGGAAACATCATCTTTGACCTCATCACCATGATGATCATCTGCAACTGTCTCGAGTTAATCATCATGCGGAAAAAAACCTGACTGATTTTGGATTGCCTTCCCCAAACCGAGAAGAACCAGTAGTTGCAAACAGGGACTTGCTCAGAGAGACAGACTACTCAGTTGAAGTTCTGGTGAATTTTCTTGAAGAAAATGAGCCTCACCTGGTGCCTAATTAAGCAAATGCTTATGAACAGATCTTGCAAGCGATACAAGCGGAGCAGGGAGGTATAATCTTTCTCGATGCGCCTGGCGGGACAGGAAAAACATTCCTGATCAACCTTCTGTTGGCCAAAGTACGTCATCAGGGGAAAATTGCTCTTGCTGTGGCATCCTCAGGCATTGCTGCAACACTACTAGAAGGAGGACGCACTGCACACTCAACTTTTAAACTGCCTCTCATCCTCCCTCACAATGAGAATCCAGTGTGCAACATCAAAAAAGGATCGGCAAAGGCAAAACTCTTAAAAAATGCAGCCTCATAGTCTGGGATGAATGCACTATGTCTCACAAGTTAGCGTTTGAAGCATTGGACAGGACCTTGCAAGACATACGAGAAAATGACCAGCTCATGGGTGGCATTACAATGGTCATTGCTGGAGACTTTCGCCAGACCCTACCTGTCATTCCTCGAAGCACTCCAGCTGATGAATTGAATGCGTGCCTCAAGGCATCATACCTTTGGAGAAGTGTTCAGACACTAACCCTATCCACAAACATGAGAGTACATCTACAAGGAGATCAGGATGCTGGACGGTTTGCAAACCTTCTACTACAGATTGGGAATGGAACTTTCCCTGTTGATTCAGAAGGACAAATAATCATTCCTGAAGGATGTGGAAATGTTGTAAAGTCCTCAACTGAGCTCACTAACATGGTCTACCCAAACATTATCCACCACTATAAGGATCACAAGTGGGTGCGTGAACGCACAATTCTGGCACCAAAGAATGAAACAGAGGCTGAAATCAACATGACTCTACTCAGACAGCTTCCAGGCAGTGAGACCTCATTCAAATCTGTTGATACAGTAATCGACCAGGACCAAGCAGTCCAGTACCCTGCAGAATTCCTTAATTCTTTGGAGCCCGCTGGAATGCCTCCTCACCACCTCACTCTCAAGATTGGAACTCCTATAATGCTCTTAAGAAATCTTGAACCACCAATCCTCTGCAATGGCACAAGACTGGTGGTCAAGAACATGATGCCACATGTACTGGAAGCTACAATACTGACAGGAAAAGCTAAAGGAGAGGACGTGTTTATACCAAGGATACCTCTCATCTCCACTGACCTGCCATTTGAGTTCAAGCGACTTCAGTTCCCGGTTAAAGTGAACTTTGCTATGACCATCTACAAGAGCCAGGGACAGTCCCTAAAGATGGTTGGCCTAAACCTGGTGTTTCCTTGCTTCTCTCATGGACAGTTCTATGTTGGATGCTCCAGAGTGGGAACTGGCAAAAATCTGTACATACTTACTAATGGCAAAACCAAAAATGTGGTCTACCTTAATGCACTACAGTGAGACAATGTGGAGCCTCCCGGAGGGTGGCGTCCTACCGTGGCCTAATATATATATATATATATATATATATATATATATATATATATATATATATATATATATATATATATATATATATATATATATATATATTAGTTCTTGAATCGATAAGTGGCAGGGCTGAAGTAAACACTTTGTTGGTTTTGCTTTATTGTAGAAAAATATAGTTTCACAGGTACTGAGTTCAGTTGAGAGTATATTGTACCTTCTCTGCTTAGGGAAGTGTCTCAGTGCATTTGTAGAAGAGAACACTTAAGTGAGTTGTTCACTAGGTAACAGGTGATATCAGAGTCTCTCTCTCACACCAGGGAGAGAGGGTGGTCAAGCAGGTCCTTTAAGACCTGCTTGCATTGCAAAACCATCCAAGAAGTAAGTAAGCATTCAAATGTTTCAGTTTTGGAGGAGAATTGCGTGGATTGAATGAATCCAGGTGAAGTGTTGGCTGCATAGAACAAAACTCCTGTTGAGTTTTGAGAGTGGCAACCTGTAACCACTTTTCACATCTGCAAGGAGGGGAAGGTCTCATAAAAGAGAAATCTAATTAAACTATTGCAAGAATGTTCTTCATTGTTTTTTATTGGGTAAAATTGCATTTTCAACCACACCTCTTTCAGCATGGAAATTTTTGTGTGTGTTTTTATAAGTATCAAACGATTTTGACCTTCATTGCTTTGTAAAAATAGAGCGCTTGGCCCCAAATCATTACGTTATTAAGAACTTGTCTAATTCACAAGTCTCCTGCCATAATAACCAAGTTGTTGACGGCCAGGAAATCAGAGATGTATCCAGGAATATCAAAAGGGGGGTCCAAGAAGTTTTAGGTGGGGGAACATGGCGAGCGCAGCGACCTCACCCAACTGGGGAGGTTTGGGGGCTCTGTAAGCCCCCCCCCCCCCAGATGTTTTTTTTTAATCTGTCCAATATCATGGGCATTTTGAAGTCATGTGCACTAGATATTAGGAGATATTCTGAGGTCAATAGTAATTGCGTTTTACTATACAAAAATGCCTGAGTGCAATACTACATTAAAGAAAAGGTATTGTAATTTTCTCATGAAAAGGGGGGAGTGTGGACCCCTCGGACCCACCCCCTGGATTCGCCCTTAGAAATCGAATAAAAATGAAGAAGCTGTTCTCAGAAATTACCAAATATCCTCAACTTTATATGTGATGAATAAATTGTAAATTAGTTCTCCTTCACCAGTCTTTATGATGTTAAAGAAAATGGAGACCATAGTTGGGTAACTACTACAGTACGGTAATTACAAAATATAACATCGATAATGTAAAGAAATGCTTTATAAAATAACTCTATTTTCTTGTTGCATAAGTATATTTTGATGATTATCTGGACTTACAGTCGATCAAGAGTGGAGTGTAGAATATATAAGGACCCGAGAAACACCTAAGAGTCTATTATCCCCACTTTGCCTTACTCGTTCTCTCGCTTCCACTTCCATTGTAGATGCCGGGACGATTTATTGAAACATAATATGAGAAAAAAATATTAATAGTGGCTTTGTTAGGCTGTCCTTTAACTAACTGATTTACTATTAACCATTCTTCGTACAATTGCAATATCATTGCGTCTAATTCATGGGCGGTCCAGGGGGGTCCGGACCCCCCATTCTTATAAAAAAAAATCCAATCCTTTTTCTTTAATGCAGTATTGTACTCATGTGTTTTTGTGTAGTAAAAATTAA